CCACCAGGAGCCCTCTCCTGTGGAGCAGGTGGGTCCCTCCCAGGTCCCTGCACCCACAGGGAGCCCTGCACCGGCCCTGAGCACCTGGGGGACAGGCCAGTGCCTCCGCCCAGCCCGGGGCTCCTGGGCCCTCATGGCCCCAACTGGAAGGCCAGAGGGGCTCCTGTGCCACCAGCCTGCTGCTCTTCCGACTCCTGCTGTGAGGAAATGGGATTCTTGGCCAGAAACAAACAAAAAAAAGGTTTTCTCTTTTTGTATAAATGGAAACAAAATCCAGGAGAAGCTGCCACCCCTCACCTCTGAGTGCGATGCTCTACCTTGGCTTCGGTTTCTTTGTCACCGTTTCATCTTTGGTCCCCGGGAACAGCCCAGCGCAGGTTCTCCTGGTTCTGACCCAGGGGGTGTTTGCATCACCCCCTTTTACTTGTATAAAAAAAAAATGATGGGTTGAAAAATGTACTGAGGAAAAAAAATGTACTTTTTTATAAATAAAGTGTTTAAAACAACCCTGGTTGCCTGCGTCACTCGTCACCTCCCCGCAGTTGCTGTGCCCTTCTCACAGCTGTGGGCACGGGGACAGGGTGGAGCAGGCATGGTGGGGAAGGGAAGGGAGCCTCCACCCTGTGCCCATGTCCCCCAGTCCTGCAGACGCCTGTAGGGGTTCGCCCTGGGGTGGGGTGGGGGGTGAGGGTCCTGCCTGGGACCTCACCCCAACTCACAAGCTGCCACGAAGCTTTGCCCGCACACGGGAAGACCGTGGGCAGCAGAGGGCTTGGGCTCCGCAAGCACAGGCAGGGAGGCCTTCAGGGCAGGCGGCCTGGGAGGCGGGGGGCTCACTGAGACAGGACCCCCCCACCCCCCACCCCAGCTGGCCCGAGTCCCTGCCTCCCTGCCCCACAGCAGCAGAGCACAGCTCAGGCTGCTTCCAGTTCCCCCTTCTCGCCCACTCTCTGCTGTCCTGCTCCTTCCTGCCAAGTCCCCTCCTGCAGTTGTTTGGAGAAGAAAACCGGCAGTGTCACACCTGTCGTGTCAGACACACTGGGGACAGAGAAGAGATGGGGAGTTTTATCCTTTCATCTCCTGTTTCCAGGAAACTGCCAGGACCTGTCCCCTGCCAGTTCTCTCCCAGAGACCCGGCCCCTCATCTCTCCAGAGGGCTGGTTGCAGGGAAGGGCTCCTTCCTCGTCCCTTGGTCACCTCCCCTCCCCACTCCAGCACCATCTGCTTCCCATCTCCTGGGCTGGAATGCAGGACAAATCGATCCTGGGTGGGAGTGGCAGGGGCTTCACCTCCTCCCCCCCTCCCCCCGTCACCCCCAGTAGCATCTCCATTTCACTGAAATCCATACCATACACCCCTGAGGAAAGGGGGTAGGGATGCTGGAAGCCAAGGTGGCCGCTTAGCAGAAAGCCCTCCTACTCATCTGGGGCGAAGCCCATCCTCCACACCTAGGATGGGGTGGGGAGGGGAAGCCAGGCGGAATCAGGGAATTGGGCGTGGAGAAGAAGCCAGCAGCTGTTGGCAGCTGGCTGGGCCCCTCACTGGGAGGCCAGACCAGCACCCTAGACTGTTTAGATGCTGATTCTCGAATGAGATGCAAATTGGTGGCGTAAGTGGTCACTTCCTCAGTTTTCCAGGCTGTCCGTTTAAGTTAATTTTTAATTTGCGCAGGCAATAAATGCTTAATTATATTATTAATATATTGGAAGAGAGCTGTGGACAGAACGTTCTAATTGGCATTTAACTAGAGCGTTCCAGCAAATTAGCCAAGACTTTCTCCAGCAGCAGAAGGAGGGCCAGCCAATTAGTCCCAGGCACAGGCTCTCCGGGGCCGGACCAGCCAGATCTGGCCCCTTTCCCCCAGGGTCCCAGGAGACACACCTAGGGCACACCTAGCTTTCTAGTTGCTAGTTGAGTTAGGTTCAGCAAGAACTTTCCCCTTTAGGCTCCTTCCGCCCAAACCTCAACCCTCCATCCTATCCCCGCATCCCCACCCTCAGCACAGCACAACGCTGGATGGCCTGGGGACAGGACCCATCTGAGTGGCTAAGGTCCCCCTGGGGTGTGCCTGCCACTGCCCTACCTCAGCTGTGAGCCCAGGATTAAGATAGCTGGGCGGCCAGAGCTCCCTTCTGGATACCACGGAGGCCTCTCTCCTTACCTTAACCATTCTGATCGTAGATGGTGATGAGAATGAACTTGACAAACTGAGGGATTCAGTTTTTTACTCATGCATTCATCCATTCATTCATTTGGCCACTGTGGGCCACGCTCCATGAGATCCTGTGATGGTCCCACCCAGAGTCTCTGCTTTCAAAGAATTCAGAGCCTCCAAGAGTCCTGAATTCCAAAATAGCCAGTGCCTGGTGGCCACAGGCTGAAGCAGAGCTGTGCGTAAAGCACTGTGGCAGCAGCACAGAACAGGAATGGCTCATTTTGCCTGGGAAGGTCTGAAAGCCTTGCGATGTTTCCTCTGGGCCTGAAGGATGTGTAAGAGTTCTCCAGACCAGAAGCATTTAAGAGTACCCCAGGCTAACGTGAGAATTTAGCATCTTATATCACTTGTTCTATAAGAGGTCACTCTAGTCCAACATGCTTACTCAGCACAATGAGAACTGAAGCCCAGTGAGGAAACTAAGGCTTAGCAACCAGACCATCAGAAAGCATGCGCTCAACATGCTCAGGGCCAGAGGCAGGTCTTGAGCAGTAGGAAGGGGAGGAAGCCAGGGAAGGTGGTGGTGCCAGCCTAACTCTGGAGAATGCAAGACCTGACGCCAGTTTCTTTTTTTTTTCTTTTTCTTTTTTTTTTAAGATTTTATTTATTTATTCATGAGAGACACACAGAGAGAGGCAGAGACAGGCAGATCCCAGGACCCGGGGATCAAGGCCTGAGCCAAGGGCAGATGCTCAACCACAGAGCTACTCAGGTGTCCTCTGGATTTCGATTCACCCATTGAGCAGTGTGAACCCCCGTGGGGGATAAATTGGGTTTGTGGGAGCCACTTTTGGGGTTGAGTGGAAAAGATGGTACGATTCAGATGCCAGTTCCAATGTGCATTTTCTTCCATGCCACCAAGTAATAAATCAATCGGATACTATTGACCTGGAGGGAGCATCAGATCCTACTAGCTAAGGGCTCAGTCCCACCAGACTGTCCCCCACCTCAGTGCCAGGGTCACATCCAGGTTGTCACCTGTGTTTTTGACCCACTGACCATAAATCAGAGGTTCCTTGGGTTCAATTCATTTGCTGAGTGGCTCACAGAACTTAGGAAACAGTTAATAGATCACCTATTTATTATAAAAAGAATATAACTCATGGAAGAGCCGCATAGGTCAAGGCACCTGGGAAGGGACTGGGAGCTTCCGGGCCCTCTCCAAGGCAGGCCACTCTTCCAGCACCTGCGTGTGTTCACCAAGCCGAAAGCTCTCTGAACCCCATCCCTTTGGGCTTTTAGGGAGGCCTCAGAACACAGGTGTGATGGACTAAATTATCGACACTGGTACCTGAACTCAATCTCTAGCCTGTCACTTCTCCCTGGAGGTCAGAGGTGGGGTGGAAAGTTCTAACCTTCTAATCACACAGTCGGCTCCCCTGGCAGCCAGCCTCCATTCTTAGGTGTTTTCCAAACTTCATTAACTTAAACCCAGGTGTGGCTGAAAGGATTCCTTATGAGTATCAAGCCACCTTTAGAGCTCTTATCACTTAGGAAACTCCAAGGGTTTTAGGAGCTCTGTGCCAGGAACCAGGACAAAGACCGAACACATGCTTCTTACTATAAATCTCAATGATCACAGGTGGTATCCGCCATGCTTTTGAAGAATGGGAGGTAGGTGGGGGGGGGGGGCGGGGAGGGTGCACAAGGAAAGGCTTCTGTGAAAGTGGGAGGGGGAACACTGCTCCTGGAAGCACCTCGGCCCTGCCCCCATGGCCCGACACTTCTGGGGAGCAATCCTTGGGTTCTGCCTTGGTACTGGCTTCTGTGGCCCCCAGACTGTTTGCTGGTTTACAGCCTTGATGGCAGAGCCAGGCCATTCCCCACTCTGCCTCCATGCCACCAACAACTGGATGGGTGGCTGAGGCACTGCCCCCTCCTCTCCCTCCCCTCTGCCAACCACACACCCCCTGGCACACACACTCCACTGCCTGGGGCCTCATCTGAGCCCGCCCCTTCAGGCCAGTGCATCTAAGCTCATCTTGAGCTCCTCCAGGAAGGGCACAGAACAGCCTGGCTTGGCTGGAGAACCAGCTCCAGGGCATCATCCACACACATCACAGGCTCCATTGAGTCAGAGAACTGAACCCGGGACACACACACAGCTGAATCGATTAGGACTTTAAAAAATCAAATACCCAGGCCCCACCCTGGATTAATAAAGTCAGAGCCTCTGGGGTGCTGACCCAGACAGGGGACAGATGCATGCACAACAAGCTACCCCGGAGATTCTAGTGGTGGGGAGCAGAGGTCATGCCAGGTGCCTAGCAGGAGGAAGAAGCAGGCCCTGAGATAGGAAACTAGAATGAGGGGTGGCTAGGTGGGTGACTTGGCAGCTTAAGCAAGTAAGAGCTGGGGTGCCAAACATGCTGTTTATTGTCATTGTTTTCTTAATTTTATTTAAATTCCATTTTCCAACATACAGTATAACACCCAGTATTCATTCATCCCATCGTGTGCCTTCCCTAATGCCCATCACCCAGTTACCCCATCCTCCCACCCCCTCCCCTTCTGCAACCCTTTGTTCCCCAGAGTCAGGAGTCTCTCATGGTTTGTCTTCCTCTCTAACTTTTCCCCACTCAGTTTCCCTTCCTTCCCTTATGGCCCCTTTCACTATTTCTTATATTCCACGTATGAGTGAAGCCACTTGATAATCATCTTTCTCTGACTTATTTCACTCAGCATCATACCCTCCAGTTCCATCCACGTCAATGTAAATGGTGGGCATTCATCCTTTCTGAGGGCTGAGTAATATTCCATTGTATACATAGGCCACATCTTCTTTAACCACAAAACGGAACGGTTTTATGAGTGATAGCATTCTATGTCATTTGGCAAAATCATACATCACTGGTTACGTGCTGTTTATTGTGCTCCCCATCCATCACCTCTGTCATCGCCGCCACCATCACCTCAGACACCTGGGACCCTGGCTGCTGGGTGGCGGTGGTGGAGGCCAGGGAGGAGCCAGGATGGAGCAATACCTGTAGCCCTCACGAGGCAGGCTTTCTGGCTTGAGGCCATGCCTGGGCACCTGGTCTCCAGGTACACGCCAGAAGGCAAAGCAGGATTCTGAGTTAAAAGCCCAGGCCAGGGATGCCTGGGTGGTTAGGTGGTTGAGCGTCTGCCTTTGGCTCAGGTCGTGATCCCGGGGTCCTGGGATTGAGTCCTGCATCAGGCTCCCTGTAGGGAGCCTGCTTCTCCCTCTGCTTGTGTCTCTGCCTCTCTCTGTGTGTCTCTCATGAATAAATAAATAAAATCTTAAAAAAAAAAAAAAAGCCCAGGCCAGAGGTCCAACAGGCCCTCCTCCAGTGGAGAGTCTTCCTCCATTGTATTACCACCTTGGAAGAAGTAGATGTGCATTTTTTTTTTTTAAATGAAGGCCACTAACAGTCCTCTTAGATAAATGGGACCCACTGAGAGAGGCAGAGGGGAGAAGGGCAGGCCTGTGCCCTTTGTCTGAGGACCAGCCACAAGGACCCATAGAGGCCTCTCTGAGGAGGGTCTTCTATTCCACAGGGAGCAGGCCTTTGAGGAGGGGATGGCTGACTCAGACATCCCACACTGGGGTCCCCTCAGCCTGAATTCATCACACCCACTCCCCTCACTCAGTGGCCAGTTCCTTTCCCTTATGCAATGCTCCCAGGACCCTGAGCCATGAGAGAGCCTCCATGGCCAACAAGAGTCAGCTGGTACTAGAACCACACAAGCTGCCTTCCCCACTCTGCTGTGAGCCCCTTGAAGGCTGGGATCATGTCTAATTCATCCCCAGCACCTAGCCCAGGGCAGACACGCAGTAGGTGCCCAATAAAGCTTAAACCAAATTTATCAAAGTGAGAGTCAAAAGACCTTGCAGGTGGAATGGACCAACCTCCCTCAAGGCAGGGTTTTCCTTCAAGCATCCCAGGTAGCTCTGATGACGAGTAGCTCACTACCTCTCGAGGTAAGCCCTACCATTATAGGGCAACTCCTCTATTCAGATAAAACTTCCCCCGACTAAGTTTCACTCGCTGGTCTAGGTAATTCCTTGACCTTCCTAGGACAGTCCTTCAAATATTTGGAGATGGTTGGTCCAAGCTAAACCTCTTCTTCATATATTTATTCCTCTGCTTTCTTAGCAACACATCTGTTAGGAGCCTGAACTTGAGTGTCCGGCAAACCTGGGTTCAAGTCTTGGTTCAGTTGACCAGTAGTTATGGAAAAGCATTATCACAATGCCCAGCACAGAGCAAGCTCTCAAAGCCACATCAAAAATCCCAGTTATCTATGGACTTTGGCTTTTTTTTTTAAGTTTTTATTTTAATTCCAGTTAGCTAACATACAGTGTTATTAGTTTCAAGTGTACAATATAGTGATTCAGCACCTCCATATATCACCTGGAGCTTTTACCACTCATCGCGACAAGTGTGCTCCTTAATCCCCATCACCTATTTCACCCTTCCCCCACCCCCTGTACCTATGGACTTTGGGTGGTCATAATGTATCAACAGAAGTTTGTTGAATGTAACAGAATGGATTGTAAGAAATGAACCACTCTGGTGCGGGATTTTGATAGTAGAGGATGTTGTGCATAATGGAGCCATAGGGTATATGGAAAATATCTTTGCCTTCCATTCAATTTTGCTGTGAACCTGAAACTCCTCTTTTATTTATTTATTTATTTATTTATTTATTTATTTATTTATTTATTTATTTATTTATTTTTGAAGCTGCTCTTAAAAATGTTTTGTTTTGTTTTTTTTTTTAAAGACCCTGTTTGGAAAAACAACAACAACACATAACCAGCTCCTTCTCATTCTGAGGACCAGGGATAAAATACTGTTCCCTGGAACTGATCTGACCAGCAGGGGATGGAAAATGGAAGGGTGGGAGGATTACCTGCATGTCCTCCCTGAACCTGCCCTATTCTTTCTTACACGGTGGATACAGCCATCCCATCTGACCTCAGTAGTGACATGGAACACCTGATGGCATGGGCTCAGTCCTGGTGGTTACATTTCTGGATGGAAGGATGGATGGATGGATGGATGGATGGATGGATGGATGGATGGATGGGTAGATGGATGAGACAATGAGTAGATGAGTGGATGGATGGATGGATGAATGGATGGATGAGTAGATGGAAGGATAGGTGGAGATGGATGGGTGGGTGGATGGGTGGGTGGGTAGATGTGTAAATCTTTATCATGTGTGCTACTACTAAGCAGATCTCCCTCACCCAGTACTTGAGCTGTCAATTTTTTCCCCTAAATGTGGTAATTTTCATTTTTCTCTGCTATCCATTTATCGTAATGATCGGGGTCAGTATTTCAGCCCGTTGCGGTCCTTTTAGATGATTCTAACAGTTCAGTTCACAGCAGACGTTTGTTGAAACCCTGGTGAAAGGAAAGAGGCAGACTTTAGGGTCCAACTGACCTTGATTCCATCCCTAGTTGTACCATTTATCAGCTGTGTGTACCTAAGGCAAGTTGCTTGCCTTCCCTGAGCTTTATAATTCAAGCTGTAAGAATAGACTGCTGAGATGAATAAAAACAGTTGTATATAGAGAAAGTTATTTGTAAAGCAGATAATAGTGGCACCTACCACAGAGGGCTGCTGTAGGGATTAAAGGCGAATCATCCCTTTGTAAAGTACTTAACACAATGCCTGGAACAGAGCGAGGGCTCTGTCGAGTTAAGCTAGGCTAGAATTATCTCTTACTATTATTTTCCCCACTGCCTATCTGCCCTACGCAGCAAACTGTGGCAGGGAAATGGAACCTGTCATGGAAATGACATCAGGCCTTAGGGCACTTGCCAAGTCCCTGCTAGGGGCTCAGCTCTGTGCCTTCCTGGCTACACAGCAACCACCATGATTTGCATTGTCCCACAAGACCCCCCCATCCGGTGGGAGGGACACAGGTGTAGAGGAGCTGGGATGTGTCCCTCTGAGGCACGGTCCTGATGGAGATCCCTGAGGCCATGTTTACCCCAGGGAAAAGGCTTCCAATGTGTTCTCCAGAGTGGCATCTGCCAAAATGCCCCAGGAGGCTCCTGAGGTGGAAAGCAAAAGGATGGGTCTCAGCTTCCATCTGTTTTACCTACCAGGATTCCGTGTAAGGTTTTAGTATTTTGTTGCTTTTACCTTCACATATATTTTTAATTGAGGAACACTGTACAAACAATAGAGTGTACCGACCTTAAGGGTGCAGCGGCACATGCACCCATGTCACCACCACCCACCCCACATCAAGACACAGATGCTCACTCAAGCTCCCTGTGTGTCTGGCTTCTTTCACCCCATATGATGGCTGTGAGATGCACCCATGAGGCGTGTTTTTGCTTGCTGTGTAATACTGCGTTGTGTGAATCTGCTGCAATGCATTGCTTCTCTCCCGGATGTGTTTGGTGTTTCCAGTTGGGGCTAGTTATGACTAAGGTTGCTACAACATTCTCATATGTAACTTTGCGGCACACAACACTCATTTCTGTTTGGCATAAACCTGGGAGTGGGATGGGGATTAGCAGATCCAGCCAAACGGTCTTCCAAAGTGATTGTGCCAACTCATGCCCCCACCAGGAGGGTACAAGGGTTCTCTTACCCCGCTTCCTTGCCTATGCACGCTGTCATCTGTTCCTTCAGGTGTAGCTGTGCTGGTGGGGGCAGAGTGGCATCCCATTGTGACTTCCATTTGCCTTTCCCTGATGACTAAGGATGTCAAGCACATCTTCATATGACTGACTGAGATTCGGGGTTTTGAAAGGACCCTAGGCTTTAAAGAAAATTTCGAAAGCCCATTGTCATGCACTTCCAGGAAGAGGGGTTAGTGTCCTTCCAGCTATGCCGTGGCCCTCCTCAGACAGGTCCCTTGTTCTGGGGGCCCAGGAGGCACTGGGGAGCAGGACGGGTTGGGGAGAGCCAGAGAAGGAGGGAGGACGGCGTGCGCTCTGGACGGGTCCCAGAGCCTCAGGAAGGGCCAGCCGTCAGGAGAGTCACATCCTGACACAAAACAGAGTAACACCCTGTGGTTCGATGAGGTGTGGAGCACCACAGTGGCCACGCTGGGTGAGGCTGGCTGGGAAACCTTCCACTGCTGCCCAGACTGAGACTTAAGCAATGCACGTATCCTAGGGTTTCACAAGAAGAGCAGGGGACAGTGAGCCTCACCCAGCTGCCATTTTCACTGAGGACTGTGAAGGGTTGGAGGGAAAGGCTGGTGGTCAGAGCTGGATGGCAGGAAGGAGGCATGGAGGGGCTGGGAAGAGGCCAGACTGGGAATCAGGGCTCTACTTCCATCATAGCCACTTCTCAAGCAAGGCTCCTCGCCTCCCAGTCCGTCCCTATCAGTATGTGGGACAAAGAGCTTGGAAGCTGGGAGCCTCGGCCTCTCCTGGGCTGCTTCTGGACACCGAGTGGGGCTGGAGTAGGAGGTCCCCCGGAGCTCCTCAGCAGCCCCAATACTGATGAGTCACCACACCCCATCCATCACCTCCATCTACTGCAATCGATCCAGAGACTAGATGTCCGGGGTGATAGTGGCCAGAGCAGCTCTCAGAGGAGCCTGGCTGGCTGTGTGGGAGGGCGGGCAGTGGCCTGTCGGGCCGTTCTCACCCCGCTTACTGGTGAGAACCCCCCACTCTGCCCTCCCCCACACAGAAGTGAAGAATCTGGTCCCACTAACAAAGATCCAAGCCTCTACATGGGCTGAGCAGAGAAGGGGTCCCCAATAGGTAAGATCACAATGAGAATGTCTTTTCTGGCAGGCCACTTAGGGAGTCCCAGGGTAGGGGGATGGCCAGACCCCAGGAAAGACTGGCTGCTGTCTCCAGAGCTTTCCTCCAGAGAAGGAAAAATTAGGGGTTTTGATCAATGAAAAGTGTTGATCCCTACACAGAGTTCTTTCAGGAGGCATCCCAGCCCCCTAAGGGATCTAGGGCCCCCCACTGGTTGGTACCAGCCTTCCTACAGGCTCTAGAGAGAGACAGCACACAGCCTGGCTGGGAAAACGCACCATCCAACATCTGCCCATCCTCTTTTGTGTTTTCTGCCATCACCTTCCAGCGATCAGGTTCTCCCTCCCCAAGCCTGGGCCCTTGGGTGTCACACCCAGTGCCCAAAGCTTTTGGCCCTACAGCACAACACATGCAGCTCCCAAGCAAGATATTCACCTGCCTGCTTTAGAATTACAAATCACTGGGACACCTGGGTGGCTCAGTGATTGAGCACCTGCCTTCAGCTCAGGGCATGATCCCGGGGTCCTGGGACTGAGTCCTGCATCAGGCTCCTGCATGGAGCCTGCTTCTCCCTCTGCCTATGTCTCTGCCTCTCTCTCTTAAATAAAATCTTTTTTAAAAATAAATCTTCACCTCAGTCTCAGAAGGTGGGCAGTATTATTATCACCATCCCAAGACACAGAGAAGTGAAGAGATGAAGAGAGCTGCTCAAGTCATGGAGTTAGCTCTTGGGGGTAGGGAGGAACCTGGCTTCTAACCACTGTACCCTCTGCCCACTGCCCGAAACCATAGAGACTCTAAAGAGCAGAGCTATGTCCTGACCACAGGGCTGGAAGAGAGCCAGGAGAGGGGCCACACCAGCCTCACTCGTAGGGGGGTGAGAGACCCTGGGCCTGAAACAAGTTTCAGTATGCCCATGAAATAGCAAGTGCCCCAGGCAGGGGACAACTGAGCGTGTGGGAACCTCGTTTGGTATCAGATGGAGTCATCCGAGACAGGTGGGGCTCCCGGGGGGGAAAGTTTTCCTGGAAAAGATGGTATCAAAGATGACTTCGTAAAACGGAAGTGATCTGGAAAAGCCTGTTGAAAACCCAGCACCCAGAGAGGACGTCCATGTAAAGGTTTGCAGCAGGAATCAAATAGACTGGGCCAGGCCCCTTGGGCTGCAGGAAGGGAAGCTGTGTGCCCCAGGATTCTCACGGCCAGCTGGGGAGGTAAGCAGGAGGCAGGTCTTCCTGGCCCCATTTAGCTGATGATTAACCAGAGGCTCAGGAAGCTAAATGTCTTGCCCAAAGTCACACAGGTGGTGAGGAGTAGACTCATAACTTGGATTCAGGCCTTTTGACTCCAAGCCAAGTGCTCTTTGCAATGTAGCGAACTTCTTATTAAAAAGAACCAAAATGCCACCACGGCTCACAGTTTCGCAATGGTTTATAACTTGCAAAACACACTGAACACACACAGCCCCGTGTGAGGTAGAGCTCCGGAGTCTTGAAGCTTAGCCCAGACCACCCCCTCTCCCCACCCAGAACACTGGTGGGCGGTCCCCCTTTTGGAGCTATGCAGGCCTGGGTGCAGCCACCAAATCTGTCTCTCATTGGCTTGGTGCTTGAGGCCAGGGCTGTAATATGGAGACAATAACGCCTACTTCGAGGGCCACAGGGAGGGGCAAGTAGGGCACAACCGAGGAGCCTGTGCACAGGACACACCATCTCCATACCACCCCCACCCAGCCCCACGCGCCCACCTAAATGCTCAGCCCCTGTCCCCATCAGACTTCCTCCGGCACCCCTTCCGGGGAGGACCTGGAGTCCAGGTGTCCCCATTTCTCTTAAGATTGTTTTCCCCTGAGGGAAAAACAGATGAACCAAATCCTCTTTCTGAGGCATCCCATGGTGCTGCTCCTAGAACTTGCCAGAACTAAACTGCCCCACTCCTCCTCCCCTCCCTAGATGTGTCTAGGTCTTGAAGTCTTCCAGAATTCTTGAGTCTTCCGCACCCCCTCGGGTTTTAAAGCTCATTGCCAACCCGCCCCCACACACCCCATCTGAGAATCAGAGCCCCTCCTGAGTGGAGGGGATTTGCACCTGCCACCTTGGCAAGGCCCAGAGAAAAGCCATTAAGTTTCATTACATTTTAACATAAGCGTTTTCACATCTAAATCCCCTCTCATTTCAATAACTCCAGACTGTGCTGTGATTACTCTCGATATGTATTTGGTTTGGGAGATTTTCTACAGGGAGAAGCCCTGATGTGGGGTCCTGGGATGATGGAGGGCCCCTTCCCCAGGATGGACAGCCAGTCCTGCCTTTGTTTTAGGATTTCTACCCTTTCTGATTCCCTTGAGACACCCTCCCCCCCCCAGCCTGTCATGCTAATGTGTCCTTGTGGGGGGTGATGCTGTCCAGGGCTGAAGGCCCATTGACTCCAGAATCACCTCTGGCCACCTCCTAGGTGCCTTGCAAGTGTGAGCCAAACCTACTTCCAGCTTAGTGGAGGCAGGACCATGGGTGCTCTGAAGCTGGAGCAGCTCTGCCCCCATGGGGTTCGAAATGTGAATCCCAGCAAGGGTGGTCATGACCTTGAGGACACTTGGGAAAAGCCACTTTTCTCTTGTGCCTCAGTCTTCTTACCTGTAAAGCAGTCTGCCTGTTTCCCACGATTGTACCAAAGACATGAGAACACAGGTGAAAGCCCTTTGTAAAGCCCGAACTTCTATGTGATTATAAAGAATCACCATGGTGCAATGACCTCTCAGAATCATCTCCCACCAAGTAGCCTCCAATGCCCTGCCTCAATACCTCCAAGGACAGGGACCTCACTTCCTTCCAGGGAAGCCCAAGCTTTCTGCCTGCAGTGCTGACCTCCAAGAGATTTCTCAGGAGTCTGTGACTGGATGACAAATGACATTAGGATAAGAAATAGGTTCTCCATGAACTCGGCCACTCCTGTGTTTTTATATTGCCTGTTTTTATTTTCTTAGCCATGTTCCTTTTGAAAAATGCTCGGCTTGTCCCAGTGAAATAAAGTGGAAGAATGACTTGGCCCTATGGACAGTGATTGATGTGTGGCAAGAAGTTTAGGAGAGCAGGGCCACATACTGGGTGATGGGGGGGTTGCTTTGAGGACTGCCTCCACCCCTGTACGCCCCCCTCCCCGACCCCTGACACTGAGCCATAGCCTGTGGAGAGGGGCACCAAGGAGGGCAAGAGCCTATAAAAACTGGAGGCGTGACCCCTCATAGGCCATCCTCAAACAATCCAGGGGAAGCCCTGGCCTTTGCTGGGGTGGGTGAGGGTCTCCTTGGGCACCATGGAGACTGGGAGGGAGTGATGGGCCCCCCTGCGCAGGCAGCGGGGGGCTCAGAGGACAAGCTGTTTCTGAGACCTGGGGCAGCGTGCATGTTGCAGTGGGAGAGGGCTGGTGAACCTCTTACACCCCAGACCATGCCCTGTGGGGGGAGGCAGATAAATGGCTTCCCCAGGCCCCCAGCCCTACTTCGGGCTGGATACCCCTACCCCTCGCTCATCCCCTCTCTCAGAGAGAACGTCGTCGGGTCAGGCCCCTGCCTGGATCCCCATCAGGGATCCCCATCAGAGAGATAGTCCCTCCCCCCCAGGAATGTGCGTGAAATCCCGTAACTCTCCCCAGCTGGGCCTGACCTTGGAGGGGGCTCTGAAACAAACCCAGTGGCAGGGGGAGAGCTTCTGGGAAAGTCAGCCTCTTCCATGATCCTTTTTTCTCCTAACAACTCAAGGTGTGAAGAGCCAATGGGAGGGGCTGGGAGGTCTGGAGACCCCGGGGAGAGCATTCCAGATGGCCAGAACACCTTGTGCAAAATAGTGTCATAGCCTCTCACACTGCGTGCACGCACACACACACATGCTGGGAGACCCTGACCCCTTGTCCCAGAGCTCACGCAGGCCTAGACAAGTTGGGCTTTATGGATCACAACCAGCAAAGGACTAGGAAAAGCTGAAGGGAAGACTGAGAGACCAACAGGAAGGATTAGGGCAGGGGCCCCAGCCCCGGCTGCCTGGGATTTGCCCAAGGAGCAGTTATGTCCCTGCCCTGCTAGAAACTACGCTTACTAAGCACTGACTAAGCACAGGCACCATGCTAATACCCGAACACACCTTACCTCATTTACACCTGACAACAACCCTGCTGTTAGTCCCATCTTACAGATGAGGACACTGAGGCTCAGAGGGTTTGAGTGAGTTGCCGGGGATTACACAGCTACCTAAGTGATAAACTCAAGACTGAGCTGGCCTGTCCTCCTCTACAGATGACCCTGGAACCAGAGGCAGCAGGGGGCATGAAAACCCCCCAGGCAGGGCCCTCAAGAGGGCCGGTCAGAGCACCGCACTGAGGATCCGGATGGCTGGGTTCCTGTCTCATTTCCATCACCAGTGAGCTGTGTGGCCCTGAGCATTTTACTAAGCTTCTCTGAGCCTCCACCTACCCATCTGACAACAGGCAAAGGGTTGCAGGCATCAAGTGAGATACTTTAGGTAAAAGTACATGTACAATATAAGTGATATCATGACAACACTTTAGCGAGAGATGCCAAACTTTCGGGGATCAGCATCATCACCATTATTAGCAGCAGCATCACCACCATCGATTTACACTTAATGAATAGTAGTGACGAAAAGAGTGGCCATTTATTACACATGCTATGTGCCAGTCACTGTGCTAGGCCCCTTCTGGAATCTACATCTGCCCAAGCCAAATGGAACAGAAGTCAGGGGCTAGGGAGATAGGAGGACCGGCTGCACACCTGGAGCCTTCAATCTCCATCCAGGAGGTCTGAACAGGTGACTGCAAAGGGACCCCTACTTGAGTCCGGAGCCTAAGCAAATTCTGTGGCCAAAGAGAAAAGGCTGTTGACACTAACGCTGATTTCTAAGAGAAGAGACAGGCTTGAAGCACAACCCAGTCCAGAGCTTTGACCCCCAGCGCCCGCCCAGGGCCACCCCAGGCTGTGGACTAGAGACTCAGGCCCCCTAGCTCTCCAGCCCAAGGGAAGAAGAAGGCAGAGGCCTTGCTGGAGAAGAACTCCTTGCTGAGGAGCAGGTGTGACACACTCCATGCGAAGAATCTGGAAATGGGGAAGATAATGGAAGAGTTTGAGGGGCTCGAGTATCAGGGGATGGAGGAGGCTCAGAAACAGAAGGAACTAGCAAAAGCTGAGATCCAGAAGATTCTAAAGGAAAAAGACCAGTTGGCTACAGACCTGAGCTCCATGGAAAAGTCTTTCTCTGACCTCTTCAAGCGGTTTGAGAAACAGAAGGAAGTGATCGAGGGGTATCACACGAATGAAGAATCTCTGAAGAAGTGTGTCGAAGATTACATAGTGAGGATAGAGAAGGAGGGCCAGTGGTACCAGGCCCTGAAGGCCCACGCAGAAGAGAAGCTCAAGCTGGCCAGCGAGGAGATCGCCCAGGTGCGTGGCAAGGCCCAAGCGGAGGCCCTGGCCTTCCAGGCCAGCCTGAGGAAGGAGCAGGTGCGCATCCAGTCACTGGAGAAGACAGTAAAGCAGAAGACTAAGGAAAATGAAGAATTAGCCCCAATCTGTGATGACCTCATTTCCAAGATGGAGATCTGACCTGAAGCCCCATCCTGAGGACGAGCTACCCTAGCCGGGTCGCTGCAGGCTGGCCGCATCAGTTCAGGCCTCTGGGTGGGTTCCCTCACCGCCTTGGCTCAGGGGAAGGTGCCCCCCCCCGCCCCCCGATGTAGGGAAGAGAGGGTTATGTCCACTCCTGGGCAAAGGGAGAGGAGATTTCTACAACCTCCAAATGTGATCATATAGCAGCCACTCAGCCTGGAGACCTGGGCAGACGGAACTGAGGAAAGAGAGACAGAGATGCAGGGGCTGCAGCAAGCTGGAATGCAGTCAGGCACGCGTGGGAAGGGAGGTGGGGCCCCGCAGGAGTTCCCGGGGGGCCTCGGACCTTAGTCTTGATGCTGAGGCCTCAGGGCTACAGGGCTGCCACTGCTGGTTGCCAGAAGCCTTGCTGCCCTTCCCTGTCCCCAGCCACGGCCCCAGGGGTGCCCTGGCCTCTATGGTCAGAAGGTCCCTATCAGGGGTGCCTGAGTGGCTCAGCAGTTGAGTGTCTGCCTTCGGCTCAGGCTGTGATCCCGGGTCCTGGGATCGAGTCCCACATTGCATTCCTGGCAGGGACCCTGCTTCTCCCTCTGCCTGTGTCTCTGCCTCTCTCCGTTTGTCTCTCATGAATAAATAAATACAACCTTAAAAAAAAAAAAAGAATGCCCCTATCACCTGCAGATCAGGACCTGCATTCTCACAGTTGAGCTTCTGTAAAATGACAAGATTAAAACAGGTCTTGGGAGCCCTGACTCCATCTGGCACTTAGAGATGCAGGATACCCACGAGACTGCTGGGCTGCCTTCAGACCCCCCAAGAGAGGAGAGCAGTCCAGAGGGCCCCCACTCAGGCTCTCGCCACCTGCCTCTGGCCAGCAGGAAGGAGCCACACTCCTGCACACCTGGGCTGGCCAAATGGCCAGGTGGACTCTGGCCCACTGGGTGGGCCCCCTTGGCAATGTAATCAGTCTCTCCCCCACCCAGCCTGTTCTACCTCTAGGCATTGGGGCCACATTCAGACACCCTTCTGAGCTCCTCAGGTCCCCCAGAACCACCTGTTCTGTCTGCACCACTGTAGGCAAGCAGAGGGCAGACCAACCCAGGACAGCTTGATGAGCAGAAGGGCCACGTGCTGCCCCAAGGGGCTCTGAAAGAGGTAGCTACAGGGGAGCTCTGGTCAGTCCAGCCCCTGAGAAACCAGTGTCTCTGTCCCCAGGCAGGGGTAGCAGGACAGAGGGTGTCACATTACCTACGGATAAAAGCTAAACCTCTGAGTGAGGTGGGCCTCCTCCCCTGCCCCAGACTCCTGCCCTGTCCATCTCCCCTTGCATCACATTTCCTGGCCACATCCCAAACTTGCAATTTTTCTCATATAGCCCACATTTCACCTGTGGTCATTGCAATACTCCTCACCTCGCCTCCAATGTTCTCCTCTTCTTCTCCCGGTAAACTCCTATTAACCTTTCAAAACCCTGCTCCAAAGGCCCCTCCTGTGTGAAGCCATGAACTCCTAGAGCTACTCTCTTCTGTATACCTCTCCTGGATCTCTTACAGTCTTCTTTTGAAGAATCACAAAATAGGGGGCTTATTTCCCCGACGAGCCAGGGCCAAGACCCCCAACACCCATCACAGTGCCTGACACATAGTTGGTGCTCGGGACATATTTATTGAACTAAAGGAGGGGTGATGGGTAGAGCAAGTGAGCATGCCACGAAGCCACTGAGCGAGGGCTGGGGGTTCAGGACCACTGGGGCCTGGTTGAGGGTCATGGTGGTAGGGAGAAGCAGACTGATATTATCAAACATTGGGTGAAACCCAAGCTCCTCACACTTCCCATCATGGGGACTTACTGCAACAGGCAGATCTGTTTTGTTTTTAAGATTTTATTTATTTGAGAGAGAGAGAGCATGAGCTGGAGTGGGAGGGGCAGAGGGAGAGGGAGAAGAAGACTCCCAGCTGAGCAGGGAGTCCGATGCAGGACTTGATCCCAGGACCCTGAGATCATGACCTGAGCTGAAGGCAGATGCTTAACCGACTGAGCCACCCAGGGGCCCTGGGCAGACCTGGTTTGAGGAAGAGCCAGGAAGCCCCTGACTGTCCCTGGCCTGCAGCCCCCCTAGACTACAACCTAGGTCTGTGTTTATCTCTCAACTGGGGATTTTGCATTCTCAGTCCAAGGGCAGGAAAACCAGGTGTGTTGTCACCATGTGACAGGTGAGAACACGGAGGCTTAGAGGTGTCACTGGCGTGGTCCCAGAAACAGGCAGGAGGCAGTTGGTCTCTGGGGCCTGAGCCAAGGCAGGTGCAAGCTCTGTCTGGAGGGTGGCTCCTGTGTCACAGACAGACCGGGCCCTGCTCCTAGAAGGAAAAGAGGGACTGCAGAAGTCGACCTTGTCCAATTCCAGCTGCGGCGTTTCTGGCAGTGGGACTCGGGACCACCGACTTGGCCTCTCCGAGCTTTCTCAGTAGGATAAGCCCAACAGAACCAGCCTCAGCCCTGTGCCCAGGTAGGCTCACAGGAGATGCTCTCCATAGGCCTGACCCCCTCCCTCACAGAGGGATCCCCGGCTCTCCCGGGCCCTCCACTCAAGCCCCAGCCAGGCTCAGCTGCCTGTAGGTGACCAGTCCTGCCCGAAAGCCCATGCAGCTGGGGCTGGGGTGGGGGTGCGCATTTGTCCTGGTGTAATTAGAGAATGTCTGAGGGTTCAGTGCCAGGGCTCCAGCTGGGGCCAGCGCTGGGCCCCCCACCTCACAGCTGTCAAGGGGAGGCTCAGACACAAAGCAACCCAGGGCGAGGAGGTCGGCAGGGATGTGTCTGGGCAGGCGACGCAGCTTCCTGCCATATGAGGGGCCAGAACTACTTAGACCCGCAGCCTCATTGGAGAATGTCACACGGATGCAGTCCCCCCGGCCCGCTCTGTACTGCCTGGCCGGGTGACCTTGGGCAAAGTACTTAACCTCTCTGGGCCTCCTTTTTCTCACTGGGAGTAACATCATCTAATTTTGCGGGCTTGACATGAGGATCAAACAAACCCCGGGTCAGCACAGGTGCCTGACACAGACGTCAATCAGGCCAATTGCTCTTCCTTGCCTTTCCCTGGCCCCATGTCTCATCCTCCCTCCGCTAGTGTTTCTCTCCACCAGGGTGGGGACCCTCCAGAGGAATCAGGCAGGGCCCCGGGTCTCTTGGGACCTGGCACTCATATTTTGGACCTTTGTCCTCATGCCCACACTGGTGCGTGCACAGGGCCACTTGCTGCATGTTGCCGTCTGCACCGTAAGCATGACATAAGGCCCCTTACAAGGGCATGCGTGTGTGTATCCTGGGGACTCTTGCAGCTTGTTCTCCTGCTCCAGTGGCCCCAGGGTCCCCGGGGGGAAGTCACCGGGAAGCAGGGAGTCGAGGCGGGACTGCCCCAAACCGTCTCCCCTTCCTGCCCAGGTCCACCGCGGGGCTGCTTCCCAGCCCTGGGATCAGCTGGCTCCAGGAGGAAAGAAACCGGAACTCTGTGACCCAGACAGGGTTTGTGGGCTTGTGCTACTTTTTTCACACTCTCATCATGCACCCAGCCAGCCCTCTGGAAGACCAGCCTGCCTCAGCTGCACGGAGAGGAAACGGGCACCTAGGTTTACCTGGCAGCCCCCCACGAACAAAATTCCCAAGTCCAGGGGAGAGGGTTGAGGCTTCTGCACCTACTGAGGGAAAGCAGAGGGTCTCTCAGAAGACTTTTAAGCAGGGCTGTGGCCTGATGAGGTTTTTAGAAAGATCACTGGGGCTCAAGCGTGGAGAAGAGCTCAGAGAGGACAAGACCGGAGGCAAGGAGGCTGGTGAGGCTGTCGCAGCCGCTCAGGGGACGCTGGTGGCTTGGACCAGGGTAGTGGCTCTGCAGCCTGGGAGGAGCAGCCATACGGAGAGCTGTCCAGGAGGCAGAAGGAAGAGGAATGGGACCCAGCAGAGTTGAGAGGCAGGGCCTGGGCCTTGTGCCTCCCTGTCACCCAGCACCAGACCAGCGCCTGGAACACAGCAGAGGAGCGATATTTGCTTGCAAAACCAGGGGAGAAGCAGGGTAGGAAGACCGCAGGGGCTGAAAACAGGAAGCCTTGAGGATAAAGAAGGAAGTCCAGGAAGGGGGTTGTGGTGGCTGCTAAGATGCTACTGTTTGCAGAAAAGCGGGCAAGGTTTGTGTAACTGGCTGAGGTTATCCCAGCCCTGGGAGTCTGCGACAGTTGAGAAGGGACAGTGCTGGTGGAGAGTCAAGGGCCCCAGGAGGGGTCTGGGTCTCCGGAGTCCCCAGGACACACACACACAGACACTGCCCTCCCAGCGGGGCCTCGGCCCACCAGCTGGGGATGGACAGATGCTGGGGATGGACAGGCACCCGGCCAGGGAGGGGCTGCAGCCTCGCTGGGAGCCAAGGCTGGTACTGAGGCCTCCCCCAGACACCGCCTGCGTCAGGGCACTGGGATGGAGCAGAGAGAGAGGCAGGTGCTTGTCAATCCCGCTTCGGGAAAATTGGCTCCATGATGTTTATGGCAAACTGCAATTTAGCGCCTTCATTCAGGTGCTCTTGTGTTTAATTATATATAATACGGTGTGGGGAGGGGAGAGGGGAGGAAGTATATAGGATTTTCTCACCAGTCCCTTCCTCCCTGCACATTGGAATGGTCAGAGGTGAGACATGGAGCCTAGCAGAGGGATGGAAAGGAGAGGCCCGGTGTGGCCGTGGTCTCCTCGATCTGGGACAGCAGGGCTGCCCAGAAAGCAATATGTACCCCCCAGTTCCCTGCCTCAGGCTCCTTTCCAGCAGCCTCATGGCATCCTTCTCTTCAGGGACAGCCAGTGGCTCAGGCTCGGGCTGAGAAATTGGTCAACGAACTGTCACAAGCCCCCAGGATCCTTTCTGGAGCCCAGAGAGAGTCAATGATTTGCCCCCCGACCCCCACCCCAGAGCAAGCTGCCTGTACCCCAGCACCACTTCTCCCTCCAGGGGCTAATGC